AAATGAAGAACAAAGGAATTTTTATTATATTGTAGATTTTCTATAAATATTATAATACACTGGTAATATTTAAGAAAAAATCTTCTCACCTAGGGATTTCTTAAAGTATCTCTACTCGGAATACTTTTGGAATCCCATAATGGGACAAAATTTCCTTTTTTCTCATTTTTTATTACCTATTTTTAATTTATTAGTTAATTTTATTATTATTATTTTATAAGAAAAAAAGAACATTTTTATTGTATCGAAAATTTTTTTTATAAATACTCTAATACACTGGTAGTATTTTAAAAAAAAATCTTCTCACCTAGAGATTTCGTAGGTATCACTACTCGGAGTACCTTTGAATCTCATCGTCGGATAAAATTTTCTTTTTTTCTTATTATTTATTATTATTAAATTTATTTTTTTATTTTTAAAGTTTATCTTAAAAAATTAACAAAATTAAAAATTTTATCATTTAATCTAATAAGTATAAATATTTTAATATGCATAAATATCAATAAAATAATATATAAAAAATAAGAAAAAATTTTTAAAAATTTTTAAAAAATTTTTTTTACCTGAACTGGACTGTTGACGCGGGTTCAGTCCCGCTGTTCAATCGTATTCAACGGTTCGATCACATTCAGTGGTTTGATTGCGATTCAGTCAAACCGGTCAGAGGCTGATGGAGAAACGGGTCGCGGGTTGACACGCGGATCTTGGGTGTTTAAAATGACGTCGTTTTGGGCCAATTTTTTTTTCAATCATTCTCTTCCCTTTCCAAAAAAAAAAAACCTTTTTTTTTCTTCAGCCAAACGTAGATGGCTAACCGATCGTCGTCACCGCCACTGTTGCAGGTCGTCGACCATCATCATCGGTGACCGAAAAAAACCAAAATCACCTAAAATATTCTCACCAACCCCCTAAACACGAATCCAGCCTCCTTTTCACTAAAAATAGTCTCAAATTCCACAGATCTACTCTTGAAATTTCGGTCAAACCCTATTTTTTTCTCTTTTTTTTTTGAAACTAACTTTTTTCTTTGTGCAGGAAACTTCTCGGTGCTAGGTTCCTCCATGCAGGGAAGACTGTGTTGAATTTTTTTTTTTTAGGTAGAAAGCTCTTTTTTTTTACAGCTTCTTTCCTCCTTCTTTGTGTTCGACCAAAAGCTTTATTTATAGAACTCCGGCAGTGCCTTGTGCTTGAGGGAATGGCACAAGGCACGTCATGGGGTGCAAGCATAAGCCCCATGCCTCTTTATTTCTTTTGTATTATCTGATGGTAGGGTAGGATGGCTAGGAGCCTAGGCAAGGGTAATGAACAGGGTATGGGTAAGAGATGGGTGGTAGGGTATGGTGGCAATGGTGCCCGGAAAGGCACCACTGCCATCCCTCATTTTTTTCTGTTTTATTTTTTTTTGGTATTTTGTATTTTGGTTTTTTTTATATTTTGTATTTTTTTGGTATTTTGTATTTTTGTTTAATTTTTATTATTATATTTAATAATATTATTATTATTTTATTTATTATTTTTTCTGTGACCTGATAAATTTGATGTCCACAGTTACCCCTCTTTACATATTGCTGATAATCAATAATAGGATAAAGACAAAGACAACAATTTTATCTAGAATCCAAATGGATTTTTCTTTTTTTTTTAACATAGACTACTCAAAAAGTTTTTTTTTTCAAATAAAAAATGCTCCTCTCATTTGAGGCTCGACAACTTTTAAAAATTTAAAATCTGAAAAAGACTCATTTCAGCAGAGGTTCAACAACTTTAAAAATCTCATCTTGAAAATGGCTCCTCTCAGTTAAAAAGGGCTCATCTCAGCAGAGGCTCAACAATTTTAAAAATTTCATCTAAAAAAGGCTCATCTTAGTAGAGGCTCAACAATTTTAAAATTTCATTTGGAAAAGCTCATCTCAGCAGAGGCTTAACAACTTTAAAATCTCATCTAAAAAAACTCCTCTCAACAGAGGCTCAACAACTTTAAAATTCATCTTGAAAAAGCTCCTCTTAGCAGAGGCTCAACAACTTTAAAAAATTCTCTTGAAAAAGCTCCTCTCAACAGAGGCTCAACAACTTTAAAAATCTTATCTTGAAAAGGGCTCCTCTCAGCAAAGGCTCAACAACTTTAAAATCTCATTTGGAAAAGCTCCTCTCATCAGAGGCGTAATAACTTTAAAATCTCATCTGGAAAAGCTTCTTTCAGCAGAGGCTCAACAATTTTTGAAATCTTATCTTGAAAAAGCTCCTCTCAGTAGAGGCTCAATAACTTTAAAAATATCATCTTGAAAAGGGCTCCTCTCAGCAGAGGCTCAACAACTTTAAAAATTCTCGTGAAAAACTCCTCTCAACAAAAGCTCAACAACTTTAAAATCCATCTTGAAAGAGCTACTCTCAGCAGAGGCTCAACAACTTTAAAAATTATCTTGAAAAAGCTCCTCTTAGCTGAGGCTCAACAACTTTAAAAATCTCATATGTTCTTTAAATCGAGTTCTCATCTTTGAACAAGTAAATTTCTCTTTTTTAAAATCTTTTGTTTGATTAGGAAATGAAAAGTCTCTGTCCTCATTATTCATGGATGCATGTACTGAGTGCTCTAAATGCAATATATGTAAAGTAATCAGAATTATTCATTGTGGTAAAAAGGTTCTCGAAATCACTCACTTTTTACTTTTTTTATCAGAATTCTTAATAATTGCCATATGATCAATCTGTTCTTAACATCTTACCATTGAATTCTTCCCTACCAATACTTTTCTTCAAAAGCCTACAACATCAATGTCTTGTCATGTTTTTCTCCTCATTTTTCATTTACCTTTTTCAACTTTTAAAAAATAATGCTAAGATCTATCATGTTTATTTTTCTTTTCATTATTTTAAGTCCAAGACCAATAAAATGCAATCACACATTTCTCCTATTCATATGGCAAACAAAAAATGAGAATAAAGGAATAGATAGGTGTTATTTCCAAAAGAAAGATAGCATATTTTATTAGACTGGTAACAAGTGCATGGCAAAGTATTTGAGTTAAAACAAAGGTGCCCAAATAATGATCATAAGATAATCATGAACAAAATATTTCCAGATTCTTTTTCTAAAACTAAATTAGATGACTTCCTTGATCTTTCAGAGTTCATCAAACTACACTTGCCCATGAATTGTGAAATGATGCTTCTTTTTTGCATTCAAGCCATCTTTTTCAGGTTTTCAGCTTAGATGAGTCATTATTTTTCATTTTTTACTTTTTTCTTTTTTTTCTCTTTTTTCTTTCAAGCAAAATATTTTTTCACAGCATCTGAGTTTATCAGAATAGGTAAATCACTTCTGTCCATCTCTACCAAAATCAATGCCTCACCAAAAAAGGTCTTTTTCACCACATATAGGCCTTTCCAATTTGGTGCCCATTTTCCTCGATTATCATATTGATTTGGAGAGGATCTTTTTCAGCACTAAATCTCTTTCTCTAAAGCAACAAGGATGGATTTCCTTGTCATGTGCTCTCATCATCCTCTTTTGATATAATTGATCATGACAAAGTGCTATAAGTATTTTCTCTTCAATGAGGTTCAACTACTCGTAGCGATTTTGAACCCATTATGCTTCTTCTAATTCTACCTGCATCAGGACTTTTAGTGAGAAAATTTTCACTTCGACCGGTAGCACAACTTTCATTTCATATATCAAAGAGAACGGGGTGACCCTAGTAGATGTTCGAACTGATATTCTATAAGCATGCAAAGTAAAAGGCAACTTCTCATACCAATCTTTATAAGTATTAGTCATTTTCTCCAAGATTCTTTTGATATTCTTGTTTGTAGCCTCTATTGCCCCATTCATCTTTGGACGATATAGTGCTGAATTATGGTGATGAATCTTGAATTGAATGCAAACTTCATTCATCATTTTGTTGTTTAAATTTTTGGCATTATCAGAAATAATTATCTCTAAAAGCCCATATCTATATATTATCTCCCTTTTTATGAATTTACATACCACAGATTGGGTCACACTAGCATATGATGCGGCTTCTACCAATTTTGTTAAGTAATCAATCATCACAAAGATGAATCTATATCCATTTAAAGCTTTTAGAGTGATAAGACCGATAACATCTATACCTCACATAGAGAATGGCCATTAAGGAGCCAAAACATGCAATGCTATTAGATGAGTGTGGATCTTATCAGCATAAATCTAACACTTATGACATTTTTTGGCATAATCAATACAATCACTCTCCATTGTCAACCAATAGTATCCAACCCTTATAATTTGTCTAGCCATTATATGACCATTTGCATGTGCCCCACAAACTTTATCATGCACTTCTTCAATAATCTTCAATAATCCTCTTCGTTTCAGCTGTATTCACACATTTTAAGAGTACTTGATCTCGACCCTTTTTATAGAGGACGTCTTCATCAAGAAAAAAACTCATAGCTAACCTTCTAATATTTTTCTTATCATTTTTTATTACATGTTTTGGGTATTACTGGCTTTTAATGTATTGTATGATGTCATGATACCATGGCTTCCCATTAACTTCTTCTTCAACACCTGAACAATTTGCTAGTTCATCCTTCACATCCAGCTTGATGGGTTAGATTTCAGTATTTGCATCTATTTTAATCATTGTAGCTAGTGTAGCCAATGCATCAACAATTTGGTTTTTCTCTCTAGGTAAATGCTCAAATTGAACTTCTTCGAATTGTTTAACCAACTGAGATATGTACTTATGGTATCGTATCAACTTGAAATCTCTGGTTTCCCATTCTTCTCGCAACTGATAGATGACTAGAGTTGAATCTCCAAACACATCTAATACTTTGATTTTCTTTTCAATTGCTGCTTGCACACCCATAACACAGGCCTCATACTCAGTCACATTATTTGTACAATTAAAATTTAACCTGGCTATAATGGGATAATAGTGCCCATCAGGAGATATTAAAATTACCCCAATACCATGACCCAAAGCATTAGTAGCTCCTTCAAAATACATCCTTCAAGACTCTTCAACAGGTTCATTTTCTTCAATGGCCATCACATCTTCATCAGAGAACTTCAGGTTCATTGGTTCATAATTTTTGATAGCACAATCAACAAGAAACTCGGCTACGGCACTTCTTTTTATAGTTTTTTGAGTCACATAAATGATATCATATTCTAAAAACATAACTTGCCACCGCACTATTCTTCCTGTCAATGAGGGCTTTTCGAAGATATACTTAATAGGATCCAACTTTGTAATGAGCCAAATAGTGTGATAAAGCATGTTTTGTCTAAGCTTTTGAGTTGTCTAGGCTAATGCATAATATATCTTCTCTAATGGTGAATTCTTAGACTTATAATCAGTGAATTTTTTTCTTAAGTAGTATATTACTCGTTCTTTCCTGTCAGTTTCATCTCTTTGCCTCAGCACACATCTCATGAAATTTTTATGTACCGTTAAGTATAAGATCAATAGCTTTCTTGGAACAGGTGGTACCAATAAGGGCGGATTTGATAAGCATTCTTTGATTTTGTCAAAAGCTTATTGGCATTCATCATTCCATTCTCCTGGATCATGTTTTCTAAAAAGCTTGAAAATAAGATCGTACTTGTAAGTGAGTTGAGAGATGAAATGAGCAATATAGTTCAGTCTCTCTAAGAAACCTCACACTTCTTTTGGGCTACAAGAAGGAGATAAGTTCTGGATGGCTTATACCTTATTCGGGTCCACTTTGATTCTTCTTTCACTAACCACAAAGCCTAATAATTTTTTTGATTTGATACCAAATGTACATTTAGCAGGATTCAACTTCAGCTGAAATCTTTTCAACCTATCAAATAGCTTTTTGAGATTGACTACATGATCTTCTTCTTCATGAGATTTCGTAATCATATCATCCACATATACCTCTATTTTTTTATGCATCATGTCATGAAAGAGAGTCACCATTGCTCTTTGTAAGTGGCACTAGTATTTTTCAACCCAAAAGGTATGACTTTGTAATAGAATGTTCCTCACATAGTCACAAATATAGTTTTTCCATATCATCTTGAGCCATCTTGATCTGATTATAGCCTAAGAAGCCATCTATAAAAGAAAATATAGAATGCCTAGCAGTATGATTCACTAGAGTATCGATGTGAGGTAGAGAAAAGTTATCGTTAGGGCTTGCCCTATTCAGATCTCGATAATCGATACACATTATCACTTTTCCATCTTTCTTAAGAACTAGTACTATGTTGGCTACTTATTCAGGATATTTTACCACCTCTAAAAATTCAACATCAAATTGCTTCTTCACTTCCTCTTTAATTTTCAGCAGCATCTCTGGTTTCATGCGCCTTAGCTTTTGCTTTATCGGCTTACATCTTAATTTTAAAGGTAACTTGTGCTCTACAATATCAGTACTGAGTCCTGGCATATCCTGGTAAATTCACACGAACACATCTATATATTTTCGAAGCAGTTCTTCTAGCTTCTATCTTTTAGCTGGTAAAAGAGATATACCAACTTTAACCTCTTTTCTGTTTTCACCATCTCCCAAATTCACTAATTCAATAATTTTCTGGTGGGGTTTAATTGGCTTATCTTCATGTTTTATTAATTTTAACAAATCAAGAGGCAGTGTGTAGTTATCTAAATCTTTCTCATTATCAAGTTCATCAACATGAATTAAGTTTTCAAAATCAAATCTGAGATTATTGTCATGATTATCTTCATGTTCATTGTTTGGGACCCTGTAAAGGGTAAGATGAAGAGAATATTGACACACAAATATGGAATGGTAAGAAAATGATGGAAAAAGAAGAATGGAAAGCAAAATGAAGATGAAAACAATAGAAAAAAATATGGATGCATCCTCTAAGTCTTTTATTAAAATGATAAATATAAACACACCACAAAAGATCTCTTAATACTCGTAGAAAGTAATTAGAGATTTAAAGTTTCACAGTACATTACTTTTTCAAAGTTTTAAAGACAACAGGCAGCTCTATAAATTTTTAATTTTTCAGCTAAAAATCTGGAGGACAAGGGTACACGAATAATAAATAATTATATTGGGTTCCATCAAAGGCTTTCACTATCATATGACTAGGTTTCATATTAGATCCATCAACAAAGAGTTTTGCCAGAGTAGTCACAGGTATAACATTGATAAATGAGCCATTATCAATCAAAACCTTATCCATTATATGATCTTTACATTTCACAGTAATGTGAAAAGCCTTGGTACTTTCTCGACCTTCAGGAAAAATCTTTTCAACGCTAAAAAAGATATAATTTGAAATTATCATATTGCTAACAAGCTGTTCCATATATTCAACAGAAGCATTGTGAGATACATATGCTTGATTTAGCACCTTCAGCAAAGCATTACGGTGCGACTCTAAACTGAGCAAAAATGACAATAGCAAAATTCTAGCCGGTATCTTGTTAAGCTGTTCTACCACGCTATACTTGCTATATTTTATTAACTTTAGAAATTCATATGCCTCACTCTCAGATACTGGTTTTTGACATTTTTTTTGGGCTGAGTCAAGACGACTCTGACTTTTTTTTCTTCTCCTACCTTGGCTTTCTCCTTCCTAGCTTTTTCTAGAGCCTCTAGGGTCTAATACCTCCCACTTCGAGTCATGCCTCCTATGCCTGTTATATTCACAGTATCTGGATTGACTACAACATCACAATCATACTTTCATGGTACTGCTCTATTATTCTGATATGAAAAAGAGCTAGGAACTTTAATTATCACTATTGGTCGGAAGGTGGGTTTTTGTAATCTCGATGTTGACTTTTCATCATAATAAATTGTTACTAGTCTACGTACAAATTTATTCTTTGAATCAATGGTAGACATTTCAGCTTTTATCAAATCTTTTTTTTTCTTCATAAAATTCTATCCGACCCATATCCATCAACTTTTGTACTTCTTGATGAAATTGGTGATAATTCTTGATAGAATGCCCCAAAGTACCTTTGTGAAAGTTACATCTTTCAATTAAGTTAATTGTTTCAGAGTGATTTTGAAGCTCTACTAGTTTTAACATGTCAGCTTTGACCAAAGCTTCAAATACTTTAGCCATCGAAGTTTTAACTTCTTTTACCCCTTTCTTCACATAATTTGCTTGCCCATCAATCAAAGTATTTATTGATGATTTAGTATGATTCGACAAAGGGTTTTCATTAACATTTGAAGTTTTTCGTTGGCTGGTATCAAAGTGTAACACCCCTTCATTGATTAACCCCTGTATTTTGTACTTCAAAGTAGTACAGTTCTCAGTAAAATGACTTGGATTCCTATAGTAATAATCACAATATGCATTAAGATTATACCATTTAAGAAATGGAGGTTTCAAAGGCTCAACAATAACATGGGCTAGTAAATATTTCTCGATAAGTTGAGGGTACAGATCTGTGTATGTCATGGGTATGGGATCGAACATGATTTTTTCTTGGATAGTTCTCAGGGCTCTCAAAACATTATTAGGATTAGGTCTTTATTTTGGTCCGGTAGGTGCAGCAGGATGATTGTAGGTGGGTGTCTAAAATGATGGCTGAAAATAGGGTGGATAAACTGGTTGTGGTAATGGCCGGTATGACTGATATGGATAAGGAGTGGATGTAATATTATTTATGAAAGGGTAATGGGTTTGGTAGACTGGTGTAGGATAAGGTGTGAAACTTTTGAATTATTACCCCACATAGTTTACTGCTTGAGCTTCATTATCTTTCTTTCTAGGAGCTCTGCCTTTCTTTGTTCTATTTATCTCTCCTATATCGAGTTTGCCATTTTTTATGGTATTTTCAATGATCTCACCTAATATCATCATATTTGTAAAGTTTTTGATTGCATTGCCTATCAATCTCTCATAGTATGGTACTTTCAGGGTGTTCACAAATAAAACAGTTATTTTTTTCTCAGTGAGAGGAGGTTGAACTTGTGCAGCCATGTCTCTCCATCTTTATGCATTTTTAATGATCTCACCTGATATCACTATATCTGTAAAGTTTTTGGTTACATTACCTATCAATCTTTCATAGTACGGTACTTTCAAGGTGTTCATAAATAAAACAGTTGTTTCTTTCTCAGTAAGAGGAGGTTGAACTTGTGCAGCCATGTCTCTCCATCTTTATGCATATTCTTTGAAACTCTCAGTTGTTTTTTTTTTCATACCTTGTAAAGATAGACGATCTAAAGCTAAATCTTTGACATACTGATATTGTGTAAGAAATACCCTTGTGAGCTCTTGCTAGGAATGAATGCGAGTGCTATCTAGTTAGACATACCATCTAGCTACAGATCTCGTAAGGTTATTTTAAAATATGTGCATCAATAACTTCTCATCATGAGTATGTGCTGCCATCTTACGTCAATACATGATGATATGAATCATTAGACATTTCATGCCATCGTATTTTTCAAATTCAGGGACCTTAAATTTTGGTGAAATGACCACATCTGGAACTAAACAAAGGTCAGCTGCATCTGTGGAGCCATAAAAATTCATTCCCTCTACAGCCCTAGGCCTTTCTTCCAATAACTTCATCTTCTTTCGGGCACTAGTATCTTTCACTTTCTCAAGTGTCTGTATCCTTAGCTTTTCTCTTTCTTTGAGATCATCCAAAATCATGAACTAAGATTGGCTTAGGTGATTTTTTCATCATAACGGGATTAACAAAATTTTAAAATTATCATGAAACAAGTGTGGATATCATTCCTGGGTAAGGATTGGGATATCTATCGAGAATAAGAATTGGCACTCTAGTTCATTGAGAAGGTTGGGTCAGTCGTGGCTCAAACCCTGGAGGGTGACAGGATCTACCATATCTGGCGATTGTTCTTGAAAGCTAGGCTTTTTTTCCACTGCTTTTCCCTTGTCAAGTTTTTTAAGCATATCCATTATTGTACTGAGATCCCCTCTTAGTTCTTTTTGAACATTTTTATTCTCTCAAATCGACTGGCTTGTTCTTGATTCATGATTCTTGTCTGAATCCTAGTTTTATTTGAATGACGAGTAGGTTGGGTCAAAATTTTTGATGGGCGAGCTATTCTTGACCTTTATTACCACAAAGTTTTTTTTTATTTTGAAAAAGAAGAAGGAAAAAAAATTAGAATGCTATGTGTTGAAAATTTTATCTTTTACTTATTTTATGAAAAATGATGTACATGATGCATGAATGCAAGTAAGAGATATTTACTCTTGGACGAATTTCAACATTAGAAATTTTTATTGATTCCATACAACTTTTCTTACATGAGATTTACCATCCTAAAGTTATATCCATAAAAGCATTTGACTTGTTCATAATTATCTTTTACCTTGTCTAGAAAGTTCACTAGGCATTGTCCACATTCTCCTATAGGATTGACTTCTCTTTTTTATGCTTTTACCTTTTCAACCATCTCTCATGCTTTCTTCACTGTCTTGCAAACTTGATTAGTCAAGTGCTCTATGTACTGTTGCCTCTCAAAGCTTTCTATCTTTCATCTCATGTGAGCATCCCTTTCTGAATCACATATGAAGATCCAATCTTTTTTCCTTCTATGCCATTCATCTATTATTACTGAAATATGGCTCTTGTGGTCTTGTAGTTGTATCTTTAACCCTTGGATCACCTGGTGAAGTGATTCTTTTTCATTCAGTATTTCAAAGTGCTTTCTTATCTCTTTTGCTAGCATGACTTTTAAACTTTCCTTTTTGTTTTGGCATTCCACTAATCTTGCTGAGGTTGTAGAGTATAATCCCTTCCAATTCTGACATTCTTGAGAAATTATGATGGTCTCCTCTTGTTTTTCTTAAGCTTTGCCCTTCTATTAGCTCATTTCCTTTCGGAGCTCATCCATTTCATGTTGTCGACTAAAGTAAAACTTGGTGACTTTTTCAATTTTGAATTGAACTCATAACCTTTTATTTTCCTGATGTAAATCTTTTAAATCATTATTGACCACATCTCATTCTTTTATGACTTTTTCTAATCTGTTTCCTTGTATCTCTGCTTCATATTTTAATTACCCTACTTTTTCATGAAGTCTCAAATTTTCTCTTCTTATTTTTTTTTCAGGTTCTAATTTTTTTTTAACAAGCTCAACTTCTGATAATTGCACATCTTTCAAAAGATTAACCAATTGATATGAGCTGTCATCAAAAGAAAGTATTACGTCTCTAAGCCGTTTTGCTTTCCAAATCTAGTAATCAAAAG